GGTGGCCATCAGCCAGGTGCCGTTTTTTTCCTTGAACGGGTGCCAACCACTGCCCAGGTGTGAAACACCTGACCCCTGCTGTCAAGCGCTCGTGGGGCACTTCGCTCGGAAAGGCCCACCCTGGCCTCCAAGGCCGTCGGGGCCAAGCTACCGGACTCGTACTCGGACGTGGTAATAAAGTCAAGCAGCGCCTGCGAAGCCACCGTTTTGAGGCAACCATTGTTACTTCTCTGAGTGCTGGGCCGAACACCGGAGAATGCTGGTCTCGAAACGACAGCGTCACGTGGACGCTGAGCCTCCACACCGACGTCGAGCTCTGCATATGTTTTCGGCTGATAACCATTAATCTGCCGACTATTTCCAAACCTTTGAATTTGCGAGACATACTGTGTGCACCCGCGCTGGAGCCTTTGTCGCGCGCTTTGATTTAGTCTAGGACGGAATCTGCCCACTTGATCGGGCTCCCCTGCGTCTGACCGTGTCCAACGCTTCGGCGTGTGGCTGGCTAAGCTGATCAAGACCTGCACCAGCTAACCACACGGGACAGACAAACGCTTTCACGAACGATACCTCCGTTTCCGACGGTGTGAAACATCAATGTGTGCAATATCCAAATCGCCAGAAGATGTCAAGCGGGCTCAATGCGATGACCGGTGACAGCTTAGATTCCTGCGTCAACCTAGAGCGCGGCCTCTAGGCCTTCAGAGAAGGGAGGAAACAACACAATAAGCTGCAACATATCGTCAACGCGGAACGCACTAAAACAAAATGCCTGGTTCTGCATGCGCTTAGTGCCGGCCTCCTTACAAACTTGTCCCGCCCCACCTGCTTCCACATGGCGAACCTCTTGCGACACGGGGGCCCTCCGACTTTGCCATACTCTCGCATGGAGGGTAACATGTCGGGAGAAAGCTTCGGCATCGATTATGAGGAGTTAGTGCTCCAAACTGACTATTGTTCTGTGCATGAAGTGCGAAGCATCCAGCGGCGTAACCGTTGACCGAAAGAAACTGCAAGAGGCGCCCGCTGTGGCCCATCCGTGGCCTCTCACTGGCTTCCATCAACACGCGGCTCCACAGCCTCTGACTCAGGGCTGAGACGGAGCCTCCTCTTCTGGGCCTCGTCCTCCATCAGAACTCAAAACCGATCGTCCAGCCTGCAGAATACCTGTTCAAACAGGCAACTTAACCTCAACTGCCCTCCGCCTCATCGTTGTTGCCACTCTTGCTACCTCTCGTGCTTTCTCTGTCTTCCATCTTGTATTCATGCTCCGTCCTGGTCGTCGTTCGTAATCGTATAGGCTGCCTGTACATTCCGATGCCCCTCGTGCCATTGTCGTTGCTGCATTGGCGCATTTTCCTGATAGGGTACGCGGCCGTTACAGCGGCATATTCGAGCAATACCATGGGCAAAACGCCCGACATCTGCCACATCACGCTGCGTTCTTCACCCACTCGTCCAGCCTCGCACAGGAATTATGATCACAAAGCTTGCGAGTTACATGTTGCTGCGGCTGCGTGGTTCAAACATAGGCACTATCAAGGTACATCTAGCATCACATAACATGTACAACTATGCTGCACATAGTGTCACCGTCAATGCTTTCCTGATGCCCATCGCAAGAAGTCTGCACGACCCACCGCAAACAAGGTGTATCTCAAGGTCACATGTCTATGGAATTTGAATAAGTCCAGGCGCAATATGACATGGTAAGTGGGAGAACGCATTCATTACCTTACACTTGAAAAGAACATCGTTCACTGTGTTCAAGAGAAACTTGCGAACTGCACCTAAATACGCACGCTTACGCGCGACTCTACGCGAACATCCCGTGCAGAATTCTTGACGCAACCGAACATGCTTGACTACGCCAGCCACATCTTGAAACGTGACCCACGCAATCCATTCTGCTTCTCTCATGACGCTTCCCCTCCACGTATGCATCCGCTTCATCTTTCGGCGGCGAGCCTGGGGGGAAAGTGACAAGGGAGGGGCCTCCTCAGAAGGCTCCGGAGTCCCCCAGACTTCCGAGAAGTTGTCTACGCCCTCGCCGAAGACGCAGAAAACGCCCCAGAAGGCCGGAGGGCTTCTGTCAGAACCCCGAATCATCAGGGGCTAACTCGGGTTCGTTTTTCGGGATTCCGAACCCGAGGTACCCCGGGCCCGAGTTACCCCGGATAATTCGGGCGTCCAGAGCCCCGAATCATCAGGGGTAAATCGGGTCAGGGCTAACTCGGGTTCCTTTTTCGGGAATCCAAACCCGAGTTACCCCAGACCCGAGTTACCCCGGATAACTCGGGCGCCCAATTCTGAGAAGCCCCGCCGCCTTCTGGGAAGGCCTTCTCCTTCTCGCTTCCCACCCCTTGGCGCGCCGCCGATCCTCCTACACATCCGTTTCCTTCTGCATGACAGGCCATCTCATCTTCGCCACCGGCGCCTCCCCACTTCGAGGGCCCCCTGCGCGCCTCACGCCGTCACTTGCCCGGCGACCGCCAACAACCTTGGCTGCAGCGTGGGAGGAAAACTCCTCCTCCTCCTCCTCCTCCTCCTCCTCCTCCTCTTCCTTCTCCTCCTCCTCCTCCCCCTCCCCTGGAGCGCGTTTCTTTATGTTCGGCGATGACGGGCGTCGTGAAGGGGGGGGGGGGGGGGGGGGGGGTATGACGTAACGCCCCCCCCGCCGTGTGGCCCCGGCTCCACAGCCACGCCCGCGCGCACGACGCGACGAGCGACGATCGACGAGCGACGAGCGACGAGCACGACGACGACGACGCGAGTAGCATGTAGGTGGCGATCTGCGCCACTGCGCCTGTGTACACCACAACGCTCGCGTGCACCACAGCGCGCGTGTACACCACAGCGCCTGCGTACACCGCAACAACCGTGTGCAACGCAGCGCCTGTGCACACCAGTGCTTGCATACACTACACCGCCAGCGTACATGTGTACACGGCAGCAACCATGTACAACACACCGCCTCTGTACACCAAAATGCTTGCGTGCACAGCGGCGCCTGTGCACGCCACAGCGCCTGTCTACACCACAGCATCCGCGTGCAACCCAGCGCTGCTGTACACAACAGTGCCTGCGAGCATAGGACAGGTAGAAGGAGCATGTGCGTGAGGATCTGCTGCGGACAACTAAACGCTACGCCAGGATAGTTATGATAATCGAATTCGACGTTCTTCCCTGCTCCCCCCTGCACCTCCACCTCCACCTCCTCCTCCTTACCCCCTGTCGCGCGGGTTGGCGCTACAGCGCACGTGCGCATCTCAGCGTGCACCACAGAATGGTCGATTGAATGGGTGCACTTGGTTCTCGGACGGCCAATTTAGCTGGAGCTTCATGGACGCAAATGGGAGGAGTTAGGGTGATGCGGGCGGACTCGGGAGGACTCGTAGATTCCAGCGTCGGCGCTCCTTTGTCCATAAGGGTTCCTTTCTACTGTTTCTGCGGAATCCACAAGTGCTCCATTTTGTCATAAGGATTTCTCTTAACATCATACACAACAGTGGTGTTCTGTTGCACACGGTTGCTGTGGTGCACACAGGCGCCGTGGTATAAACAGGAATTGCAATGCACGCAGGCATTGTGTACACTGGTGCTGTGTTGCACACGGCTGATGCGGTGCACGCAGGCGCTGTGGTGTACATAAGAGCTGTTGTGCCCGCAGGCACGGTGGCACAAACTGACGCTGTGTTGCACGCGGCTGTTGTTGTGTACATCGGCTGTGTGGTGTACACAGCCGCTGTGGTGCACGCAGCTGAGGTGGTGTACGCAGGCGTTGTGGTGCAGATCGCCACCTACATGCTGGTGTCACCCGTCCTTCGTCATTCCTAGGCTTCCTAGACGCCGCCGGCGCGAAACGTGACGTCATCGACCCCCCCGGATGATTGCCGTCATCGGCCTGGAATAAAAAAAAAGCAGGCTCCAGCCGCGTCCGCGCGCACGACGACGATGAGCGACGAGCGACGAGCGACGAACGACGACGACGACGACGACGACGACGACGACGACGACGACGACGACGACGACGACGACGACGACGACGACGACGACGACGGCGGCGGCGGCGACGACGACGACGACGACGACTGCGGACCCGACTCCTATGCGGATTCTATGTGGACACCTACGCGGATCCCAATGCGCACGGCGGCAGTGCCCGGAGCGCACTGGTGGGGGGAGCGTTACGTCATAGGGGGGGAGCGGGGGCCATGACGCCCGTCATGCCCCAAGCAATAAAGAAACGGGCTCCTGGCCTCTCCTCCTCCTCCTCCTCCTCCTCCTCACCTGGCCTCTCGTCCTCGAGGGAAACCAACAAAAAGAAACCGATGCCCCGGCTCCCCGGGCCCGTCCTGGGGGCGCGCTCTGACCAGGACCTCTCGAGGCGGAGCCCGCGGTGGCGACGAGGGCCTCCCAGGAGGCCCGTGAACGCAAAAACGAGGCAAAGGCAGCGGTATATCGGCAATCACCTGATCCTCCTCTGCTCCTCCTCCGCCACTCCTCCTCCTCCTCCTCCTCCTCCTCCTCCTCCTCCTCCTCCTCCTCCTCCTCCTCCTCCTCCTCCTCCTCCTCCTCCCCCTCCCCTGGCCTCTCCTCCTCCTCCTCCTCCTCCTCCCTCCTCCTCATCTTCCTCCTCCTCCTGGCCTCTCCTCCTCCTCCTCCTCCTCCGCCTCCTCCCCTCCTCCTCCCTGGCCTCTCCTCCTCCTCCTCCTCCTCCTCCTCCTCCTCCTCTCCTCCTCCTCCTCCTCCTCCTCTCCTCCTCCTCTCCTGCGACTTCTCCTCCTCCTCCTCCTCCTTCTCCTCCTCCTCCTCCTCCTCCTCCTCCACCTCCACCTCCTCCTCCTCCTCCTCCTCCTCCTCCTCCTCCTCCTCCTCCTCCTCCTCCTCCCCCTCCCTTGGTTCTCCTCCTCCTCCTCCTCATCTTCCTCCTCCTCCCTCCCCTCGCGTCCTGCTCTCTCCTCCTCCTCTTCCTCCTCCTCCTCCTCCTCCTCCCTCCTCCTCCTTCCTCCCTCCTCCTCCTCCCCCTCCCCTGCGCCTTCTCCTCCTCCTCCTCCTCCTCCTCATCATCATCTTCCCTCCTCCTGCCCTCCCCTGGCCTTTCCTCCTCCTCCTCCTCCTCCTCCTCCTCCTCCTCCTCCTCCCCCTCCCCCTCTCCTCCTCCCTCCTCCTCCTCCTCCTCCCTCCTCCTCATCTTCCTCCTCCTGCCCTCCCCTGGCCTCTCCTCCTCCCTCCTCCTCCTCCTCCTCCTCCTCCTCCTCCTCCTCCTCCTCCTCCTCCTCTGGGTGGCGCAGAGCTGTTGCGGCGGCCGCCGCCGCCAAGCCTGGGAGCAACCCCTGGCGTCAGATGAAAGGACCCGCCTCTGCCGTCTGGGCCACCCTCCGTATCCTCTCGTGGACCTGGCCAGCCCCCTATGTCTTTCTGGACCACCTAGGGCACCCGTGGGACCTGCGTAGGACGGCCCCGCAATGCATCAAGAAACTGGTCTGGGCCAGATTGGAATTCGCCGTGATGTCCTCCTGGGCGGCCTCTAGAGGCCTCGGGATCTCCCGTCCGTTCCTGGAGCCCATCAGGGCTCTCCTCAGGAGGAAGGCTAACCGATCGCTGCAGAGGCGCTCGGCTATCCTGGCCTACCTTGGACGCGATTTCTGGACCCAAGACAAAGTCTGGCGCGCGGGCTTCGGGGACGACAGGTCCTGACACGCCTGTGGTGCCGAGGTAGGTTGTCAGCACCACCGTTTCTGCCGCTGTCCCAATCGAGAGACAGCGAGAGCCACTGTCGCCGAGGATGAGGGCCTCCAGGGGATCGTGCATCGTGCTGAGACCTCCTCCTCCGACTCCCTCCTCTTCTCCCGTGGGCTTCACGAGCACCCCTTGGAGGACCCACTGTCTGTCTGGATTTTGGCCCAGGAGGAGGAGAACCCCGATTTTGAACCCCCCCCCGCTGGTCTCAGGTTGGGCCTACTCGGATGGTTCGGCCAAAGGCCCCCCAGGGCTCAAGAGCTTCGGCTGGGGGTATGTTTTCCTGGACCAGGAGGGGGCGGCCGTCAAGGCCATGAGGGGAACTCTCCCAGGGCTGCGTAGCCTCGCCTCGGTCCTCCGTGCAGAGCTGTTTGGTTTGCTCAAGCTGCTGGAGAGTGCCTGTCCGCCTTTGCGGGTCGGGATCGACAATAGCTCGGTCATTCGGGGCCTCCGTAGAGGCCGCCAGTGGTGCTGCGACCCTCGTAGGCCGCACGCCGACCTCTGGGGCAGAATCTGGGGCCTGCTCCCGGAGAACTTCGGCCAGGAGGGAGACTTCCAGGCCGTCAAGGTGAAGGCCCCAGCTGGCCGACAGCGAGGCACGCCTCGGGGTCGACCTGCAGGCAGTCCCCCCCGTGGAAAGCCCTGACATGGACCTCGCGCTCGGCGGAGGTCCAAGCGGTGCTGACTCTGGTGGCGGGGGTGACGGGGCGGACGGCTGACTTCGGGGATTCCACGGGGAGGCCAGCTGCGGGCTCTCGAGGAGCTCGCCGCAGGCGGCAGGGACCGCCCGAGGGCGCCCGCGCTCACACCCTCCTCTGGAGGAGGGGGGCGCCGCGAGGCCCTCTCCTGCAAGGCGAAGCGCGCTCTGGCGCGCAAGCCCTGCCTGGGCAAGATGAGGGTGGATCGTCGGTGGGGGGTCGAGCTGGGGCGGGGGGTCGGGGAAGGCGACATCTCACCCGCCCTTCGCGGTGCCGCTCTCGGCCATGAGCTGCACCGCGTGGGCCAGTACACGTACTGCGATCGGTGCGGTGTCTTTTCGAGCGAGCGGGGGTGCAAGCTTTTAAGCGCCTGCGATGGGGCTCCAGCGAATCCCACGGCGGAGTACAGCCGCTCGCTCCTGCGCCGATCCAGGAATCCTTACGCAGTGAAGGTCTCCCTGGGGGCGGCATCGCGCTCCCTGGTACAAGAGGAGTGCGACGCCTTCTGGGAGCGTATCATGGACTGAGGCGGGGTGAGAGGCGAGTGGCACCCCTCTGCGGAGTGCCCGCCTCGCCCCATTTAAACCGGTGGCGAGCTGGGGCGGGGACCGCCAGGCATCGTTCTTGCAGCCAAAAACCTCCTCCTCCTCCTCCTCCTCCTCTTCTTCTTCTTCTTCTTCGTCTTCGTCTTCGTCTTCTTCTTCTTCTTCTTCTTCTTCCTCCTCCTCCTCCTCCTCCTCCTCCTCCTCCTCTTCCTCCTCCTCCTCCTCCTCCTCCGCCTCCTCCTCCTCTCTCCTCCTCCGCCTCCTCCTCGTCCTCGTCCTCCTCCTCCTCCTCCTCCTCCTCCTCCTCCTCCTCCTCCTCCCCCTCAACTGCCCTCCTCCTCCTCTCCTCCTCTCCTCCTCCTCCTCCTCCACCTCCTCCGCCTCCTCTCCTCCTCCTCCTCCTCCCCCTCCTTCTCCTCCTCCCTCCTCGTCATCATCATCATCATCATCTCAGCATCATCATCATCATCATCATCATCAATCATCATCATCAATCACCATCATCATCATCATCA